GCTGAGAAAGTCATGGTATGTGAAGGAGAGGGAAGACTCTTGTGCTGGGGATGACGTAGGGGACAGTTTCAGGAAAAGCTGAGAAGACTTGGATAAAGTGACACAAAGTGAAGTGAGTGGAACCAGGAGAACAATTAGAGTGCACTGAAGAGTCTCCACAATGGGCACTTATAAAAAGAGAAAAGCAACAGGTTATGTCATTACTACCATCAGACATATTTTATCTTGATGGGAACTAAAAATCATCTACTTATTTCTCATGTTTTTTAGCCCAACAAGCATTTATTAAGTATGTAATACATGTCCATGCCAGGCACTGGGCTAGACATTAGGGGTTACAAAATGAAGACAAAATGAAAACAGTCCCTGACCTTCAGGAGCTTACATTCAATTGGAAAAAGAAAACAAGCCACAGAATTGTGGGTTCTTGAAGTAGAAAGAGGTCTCACCCCTCCTGGGCACATAGGAGGCAGAGTCACTCTTTCATACCAATTCTTTTAGCAAAATTAAATAGGCAGAGACCCACAACTGAAATATTTTAACAGCTGGACCACATCTAGTTGTATAAACCACAAGTAAATCTTTTCATCTCTTTCATCTGCAAAATTAGGGGGTAGGACTAGATAATGCCAAAGGTCCCAATCCAGCACTCAAATGGGATGCAGCTATGATTCCAAAACGACTGTGTATAATTTGCAGAATTTGAGTACTTTAAGATCACCACCCATCACTTAGGTCATTAGTGGTTTTGCAAGAGCAACCAGATTCCTGCAATAAAATTCTTGTTGTCTCACTGGAACTACTTTCTCATATTCTCCAAATGATAGGAAAAAAAAAAAGATCTGTTTTGGACCTGTGATTCCATGGACATAGGAAAGTCCCTGAGAAGACACTCCCCCTAAAAATGCAGGCAGGCACCTGCTTCGCAACTTACAGCATTGCCTGCAATAACTAAGAGTAAGACTTGTCCAGGAGAAAGGAGAATCTTAAACAGTTAACAGTGTGGAAAATTTTTCTTTAAACTATTATTATGAAAAAACTGAAGCATTATCACACCAAGTCAAATTCAAGAGATTTTCAACCGTTTTCTCCTACTTTATGAAGCGTCCCACATCATTGATGACATTTCCTGCAACTGTTTTATAATTCTGGACAGAATGGGCACCACCTACAAACAGTAGTGTACACTATTTGCAAACAGTATTAAGTATAGACTGAGCTCCATACCTATGGGAAGAAGAGAAAGTAGCACAAGATTTCATGTCCAATGATGGATCAGACAGGTCTAATTCAAATATCTCCAGGGAAGCATTGGTACTGAATGTTGCATCCAACTGCTGAGCAGATGTTCCTATGAAAAGTAATTCAGAAAAGAAGCATCAATTTAGAAAAAAAATCCTTATAACAAATAATTTTTATAAAGATGTCCTATCAAAGCTGCATAGGGAACTGATACAAATAAACATGTCACCAATGGACATACAAAGGGACTAAATCATTAAAACAAATGTACATTAAAACAACTGACGTTTTAAACCTCATCTATTGAACTGGCAAAGATGAGTCCAAAACATCTACAAGCAATGTCTCAGACAGAAACCCAGATGATATAAGATAAAAATGTCATGGCTGAAAAGGAAGACATTATGATTCTGTACTGCGAATTGGTTTAACCATTCTGCTAAACAATCTGGAATTCGATTAAGAAGTCACCAAACTACATATACCATCTGAACCAGTATATACTTAGGCGGCACAGTGGATAGAGCACTGGGCCTGGAGTCAGGAAGACCTGAGTTCAAATACGGCCTCAGACACCTACTAGGCATGTGACCCTGGGCAAGTCACTTTACCCTGTTTGACTCAGTGTCCTCATGTACAAAATGAGCTGGAGAAGAAGGCAGCAAACCACTCTGACATCTTTGCCCAAAAAATACCATATGGGGTCAGAGAGAGTCTGAAGTGACCGAAACAAATGAACAACAACAATTAATACCTCAAAGAGATTAAAGACAGAGGGAGAAAACAGTTATAGCAGCCGTTTTTATCATGCAAAAAACAAGGAGGAAAGTAGGTGGCCACAGATTAGAGAATAAGTGAAGAAATTCGTAGTATATCATCATATTAACGAACCTTTAAAAAATGCAAAGAATTCAGAGAAATTTACTGAACTGAATTTGAAAAAAGTAAACAAAGGCAGAACAATTTACATAATGACAACGACATGAGAAAAAGACAATGAAAAACTTTCTAACTCCCATCAAAATCATTCCTTCAATAACTGACAGTGAACCAAGCTTCTCACTTTTCTGGCAGAAGGATGGTGGACCACACTCGAACCATGAGGCACACGGGACCAATTTACTTGTTAGAAAGTACTGAGTTTTACAGTTTGGGTTTCTGAGGGCGCAGTGCTGAGGTCACACTGGGAAGTGAGAGTTGTTTAAAAAAAAAGTATTACTTGCAAATTAAGACAACTTTGTGGTACCACCTCACACCTGTCAGACTGGCTAATACAACAGAAAAGGAAAGTGATAAACGTTGGAGAAGACATGGGAAAATTGGGACACTAGTGTACTGCTGATGGAGTTGTGAACTGACCCCACCATTCTGGAGAGCAATTTGGAACTATGCCCAAAGGGCTATAAAATTGTGCATACCCTCTGATCTAGCAATACCACTACTAGGTCTGTATCCCAAAGAGATCACAAAAAAGGGAAAAGGTCCTACATATACAAAAATATTTATAGCAGCTTTTTTTGTGGTGGCCAAGAATTGGAAATTGAGGGGATACCCATCAACTGGGGAATGGCTGAACAAGTTGTGGTATATGATTGTAATGGAATATTATTGTACTATAAGAAATGATGAGCAGGCAGATTTCAGAAAAACCTGGAAAGACTTATACAAAGTGAAGCTGAGTAAAGTGAGAGGAAAATATTATACACAGTAATAGCAACATTGTTCAATGATCAATTATGATTGACTTAGCTCTTCTCAGCAATACAATGATCCAAGACCATTTCCAAAAGACTCATGATGGAAAATGCTATCCACATCCACAGAAAGAACTATGGAGTCTGAATGCAACCTGAAGCATACTATTTTCACTTTTTTTTTTGGTGGCTTTTCCCTTTTGTTCTGTTTCTTCTTTTACAACATGACTAATGTGGAAATGTTTACATGACTGCACATGCCTAACCTATATCAGATTGCTTACAGTCTTGGGAAGAAGGTATGAGAGGGAAGAAGAAAAAATTTGGAACTCAAAATCTTATAAAAAAATGAATGCTGAAAACTATCTTAAAATGTAATTGGAAAAAATAAAATACTATTTATCCAAAAAAAAGTATTGAAAACATTTGTAAAATACATTTATCAATGCATTTGTCCCCAATCATCCTTCCCAAAAAAGTCTAAAATTAACAATGACATTAGTTCTTTTCAATTTTCTTTTTTCATAGAATTTTCATTATCAGTCATTCAATAAAGGTTTATTAAGCACCTATTCTGTGCTATGTACTGGGCTAAGTGTTGGGGAAAACAAAGAAAGATAAAAGACAGTACTTATTCTCAAAGTACTCACGGTCTAATGGGAGAGAGTGCACAGCAAACCATGTATATAAATAAGCTCTATATACAAGATAAATTGAAAATAATCAACTGAGAGAAAGCCCTAGGAAAGGTTTCCTATAGAAGGCGGAATTTTAGTTGGGATTTGAAGGAAGCCAGGACACAGAGATGAGGTGGAGGAGCATTCCAGGTGAGGAGGACAGCCAGTGAAAATGCCCAGTGCTGGGAGATGTCTATGCAAGGAAGAATGGTAAGAAGGCCAATGTCACTGGATGTAGGGGGAAGGGGGGAGGAGGAGGTGAGAAGACTGGGAAGGAAGAGAGCTCCAAATTATGAAGGGTTTTGAAGTATCTTATAGTTCATTCTGGAGGTGACAGGATAGGACTTTATCCTATCCAAAATCTTGACATGTATGACATCAAGCAGATATCTGACTAGAGATAAGAAAGGAAAAGCTGAACATAACTAGATAGAGAAAGGAGACAAATGGGACAAATTGGACATTTCTCTAAAAGACAGTCTTGTGTCTGCTTATGTGTATAATAAAATAATTTGCTGCTATTTAAAAAACTCTAAGTAAACTTATTTTTAGGCAAAATCAGCTTACCTGTAGCCAGATAAATGGGATGACACTGGGCAGGGCTCCATGCCTGCATGGCTGTTCGGTCCACTTCTTTTAACTTCATCCTGCTATATACAAGGATATCATGGAGGCAGCATTACAATGCCAGAAACCCACTACCATCCCCACTCTGCCTGATGGACCTAGTCTAAGGCTGCCTTAAGAGATAAACAAACTAACCATGAACACTAAACACCAGAGGGAACTGACCTATACAGCACACTTTTTTTTTTCAATCCAAACCGGCAATTTTATTGTGGTAGATAGCTCCCAGTGAAGAACTCCCTCAACCAAAGCCAATCTGCACCAGCTCTGCAGTGGTGGGGTTAGAAAATTGCCAGAGGCACTTAGAGGTTAAATGATTTATCTCTTAATCCTGCAAGCTTTAGTAGCCAGGCAAATAGAGGCTAATTTCAATCGTGCAGATTTCACATCTCCCCAGTGAAACATCAAAAATCCTCAAAAACAAAGAAGCCAATACACGATAAATATCATGATAAATCAGCTAGTGCATGAAACAGTCCATTTCCACAGTTTTGTTGCTAAGTATCTTTCAGGGGAAAAACATGTAAGTATCCAGTGCATGAAACAGTCCCTTTCTATAGTTTTGTTGCTAAGTATCTTTCAGGGGAAAAACCTTTAAGTATTTAAATTCTGCGTTACAGAAGGAATAATGAGACTTACAGGCTATAACTGGGCATTAAAGCAACCCACTCATCCTGACACTTCTTAAGGCAAAGGAAAAGAAATGACTTGGAAAGGGAAACTAGGCTAACCCGGGAAGGAGCACTGAGACAGGCGGGTCATGAGAACTTTGATGGACTTTACTCTGATCATTTGTTTAGGAAAACCCAAACCTGGTAGAAAGTGAGTCCTGATCTTTTCCCTTCCTCTTTCTCTCCCCATCCTCTGTGCAGCGTCTCCTGCCTGAGAGGGAGCAGGTCTGCTGACCGGACCAGCCCAATGTCCGTCCCACACAAGTCCAGCTCCCGCGGGGGGTCGGGGGCTGCTCCGCACCCCCAAACCCAGCTGCTCCCGCATCTGCCCCCCGGGGCGCAGGAGGACCCCCCAGGCTAAGAGAAGGGGATGCAATGCCAGGGCCCCTGCGGGTGTGCCCCCCCTCACAGCGGGGGAGCCCGAGCAGGGCCCGCAGGGGAGGGAAGGAGGAGGAGATCAAAGGTCCCTGACAGTCCAGAGCCGAGAGCCGCGGCCGGGGGGCGAGGGGGCCCGAAGGACAAACAGGGCGAGGCGGGGACTCGGGGTCCGGCCTCGGGCTGGGGGCCCCGAGCTGGGGCATCCCCCCGGCCGGCCTGCCTCAGTTTCCCCATCCTCTCCGGTGGGCGGGAGGATGCAGTCGCGAGCCCCGCGGAGGCCGGGGGGTACCGGGCACCTGAGGGGTGCAGAGGAGCGGGGGCTGGCCCCGGTCCCGCTCCGTACGCACCTGAGGGCCGCGGGGTCCGTCCCTGAGGCTCCGCCGGGGCCAGGCCGGGCTCGTCGCTGTCGCCGCTTCGCCGCCGGCTCTGAGCCCGCCGCGGAGGAAGAGGAGATGGAGATGGAGGTGAAGTTGGAGGAGGAGGAGGCGCCCTGCACTGACGGTCCGGGAGCGGAGGCGACGGGAGGCCCGGGTGTCTGTCAGGCCGTCGGTCGGTCGGTCAGTCAGTCAGAGCGCCGCGCTTCCGAACGCCGCTGCCGCTGCTGCCCCTCCCCCCGACCGGTGAATTTCTCCAACGTGGCAGCCGCGGCCCAGCCCCGCCCCGCGAACACTTCCGGGAGCAAAGGGGGCGGAAGGGCAAGGGTGGAAGAAGAAACGTTTTCCCCGGGCGCAGGCGCGCGTGCAGCCGCGAGGCGCTCCGTTCTGCGCAGGCGCACACGCTGCCACGGCGGAGCCTCATGCTGGCGCAGGCGCGCCAGAGACCACGGCACTTCCGCTATGCGGCGGAATAAGAGCAAATCCTGAGAGTGACGAACGTTCGGTTACCCTGCGGCCAGGCGGGTCGGTATCCTCCCCCCGGCCCTCCTGCCCCCGGGGTCAGGGTCACAGGTCATCGCGCAGACCTGGAGCCACGGAGCGGCTCCGCCTCCACACGCGGGGGCAGGAGGTCACCCCCACAGCCACACTCGCCCTGGAGCCCGGGTCTGGGAGAGTGGCAGGCTCCGGGGCTTGCCGGCGGGATCGGGAGATCTAGGCCGCTTAGGACAGAACTAGGAGGGACCGGACCAAGTCGGAAAGGCCGCGGGCGGACGTGGAGCTCGAAGCACTTTATGTACATTTGTGCGAGCCTCCTAACCTAGGTTACTTGCCCGTCGTCAAGCAGCAGGGGTTAACGGGAAAGCATTTTTGCCGAATTGCAAGTCAACCACGTGACGATATAGGATTTAAGTTCGGAGTTTTAAGTGCCTACAACGTCAGGAACTGTTGAGCAGGCCTGATAGTGAGGCAGCACCCTGGCCCCTGCCCTCAGGGAACTTGCGCTCTATCAAGTGAAGACTGCAAAACTTGGAGGGGGCAGAGGGGAAGGAGTAGCAAAGGCGATTTTATCGGACCGGAAGCCTGGTGGGCGAGAGGCAGAGGTCGGGGACTGTACTAGGCAGGGGGGCCAGCCAGGGACTGAAGTACGGAGTGTGGAGGGGGAGTGGTATAGGGGAGCAGTTCAGCCTCCAATACTAGCACTGTGACCCCAAGCAAGTCCCTTACACCATCTGCCCCAATTTCTTAATCTAAAATTATAGCACCTACCTCTCCAGTTATTGTGAGGACAAATAAGCGCTAGTGATTAGGTGAAGGGAGAAACACAATTTTATATCTGATCCCAGTGTTAATTGGGAGCCACTTAAGTTTGTCACCCGGGCTTTTGGAAAATCACTGATAGCTGATTGGAAAATGGACTGAAACGGGAAGAAGTGAGGTAGGGATACCAGTCAGAACCATCCGGACAAGTGATGAGAACAGAAGAGTAAATTTATCCACGATATTCCAACACAGGCCTGCACAACATACACCTGAAATGACCGGGTTGCACTGCACACTCCTGTTTGACGTGATCTGCGGCAACCAACCACCATCGGTCTCTAATCCAACCTCTGTGCTACCTGAAGTTTACGAGTTGTGCACGTCTGTTCTAAAGACAACGGACTGGCTATGCGGAGGACTGTATATGAAGTCCAGGAATGAGGTTTCAGGCCTCCTCAGATGGTCATACCCTGGGTGAGTTTGAGATACACATGTGGTGGGTGTGGGAGTGTGGGGACAAGCTCAACAAGAGAAATCAGAGGTAGATATATAAATCTGGAAATTAGATCCTGATTAGTTATAGAGGCTCTATTGTAGGGCCAAAGCAGTTGGCTGTTGGGAGTGCTTACCTAGCCTATTTACATGGAAGGACCCATGCAAGCTTGAAACAGTGGTGCTGAAGAGCCACGTAATTGGATATCTCTGGTGTAATAACTAGCAGAATTCATTCTGCGTTTATATTCAATGTACAAAAAAAAAAGGCAATTTGCTGCTTTTCTCAAATCATGGAGGTCTTTTATTGTTTGGTCCGGTCTGGTACATGTACCTTTTGCATGTTCAAATGGTATTTTAGTACCAGCAGTCAGCTTAAAATTCATGTCATTTCATGCCATGTTTCAGTGCACTAGAGATACAAAAACAAGAGGGTTCCTACTCTCAGGTTTGCTGATGAAAGACAACAAAGGGAGGTGGAAATGGGGAATGGGAGAGCTCTGTAGGTGGGGTAGACTGAAGGGAGCTGGGAGGTAAAGTAAGCCCTCATTTATTATGAATGTTAAGGGTCTGTGGGAGAGCTTGCTGTTAAGACATTTATGGAATCTTACAAACTTGTCAAAGATTTTGAACAGGATTATGGATGGCATAAAAGTTCAACTCAGAATTTAACCTTTCAGTCATTGAGCAGAATTTCACTCAAGCCAATTTAAGCATATTTAATTTGCTCCCACAAAATTTTAGAAATTGCTATCTAGTCCAACCCATGTTATTCCAACCTGCTTAACCTCCCGAAAGGGGAGGGGGAACCCCACTGTCCATCTCACCCAGTTTGCAAGTGATCTCTCCCATCTGCAAACTTGTAAGGAAATGGAAACTGAGGGGGTACACGTCAATTGCTTTTAAAAATACAATACAGGGTGTTCAGTGTGCTCCAATCAAAAAATCATTTTAACACTGGATTTCTTTTTGAATGTTTTAATTTTAATTTTTTGTTTGAAGACAGCAAATTTTGGAGAAAGTCAACTTCGTACTCTGGTTAGCTGAATTCAAATCTACAACAGCAATAAGAAAGTTTACTTCCTATTTATATAGAGGCTCCCCACAGAAATTTAACTAACTGGATGAAAAAAATTCAAAGAAATTGGCTCAATTTTTAGATAAGCCTGTATCCGGGAGACGCTGGCTCAAATCAAAGAGGCCATCTGCTGAAATAACATTCCAAAACCCCCCCACTGAACTAAAACGCTGACACTCCACAAGCACAAGGTCTCAAGTCACAACCTGTAAATCAACAGAAACGACAGTGATCAGTATTGGAGGGATTATGGTAAGATGGGTACGCTTATGCACTGTTGGTCAAGCTATAAATCAGTAACATTAAAAAGGGATTTTAAGAGTTTGGAATCAGCAACTAAAGCTACTTAAAGGTACATTCTCTTTGGCCAGGAGATTGAACAGAGAGATTTATACCCCCAAGGAGGGTCACTGTTAAAAAATCCCCACTTAAAATATTTATAGCAGCACTTCTTGTGGTAGGACAGAGTCAGAAACAAAGTAGATACACTCAAGTGTAGAAAACCACAGAGCATGACACAGATGAGAGCTGCACAGATACATGCAATTTAGATTCAAAGCACTGACCAATATAAAGCTTACCTTTCTCTAATACTATAGATTAGTGTGCTGACTCTACCACCCTCCAGAAGTCTTGATCAAATTATTCTGCAGGTCATTTTCTTCATATTATACCATCCAGTTTTATTCCTAGGAAAAGACTCAGATCAATATGTACGAAAATAACTCAAAACAAAAATCAGACATGGCCAATGTGTGGGTTTAATTTGCCTAACTGTGCTCTGTTATAAAGTAGGGCTTTTGGGGGGAGGGAACAAAAGGGAGAAGTGGAAGGTCCAACACTGATAACATGTTAACTGTATCTGTATACACATATAAACATAACTGAGCTCCATACAGCAATCAGTTGGGCATAATCATTTTTTTCTATTCTACTTAGTATATGGAAATAGTGTTTTTAATCAGTTCTACCGTGTGGTTTCATCTGATTGAGAATCATGCAAGCAGAAACATGGAGTGAACTTTGAAATTACATTAGCTGTTTTACAGATCAGTTACCTGAGTTACAGTAAGACCACCAAAGGAGTTTGCAAAAATTGTTGTTGGAAAGGCAGCTCCCCCCCCCCACCGGCCAAATACTGCTTTCTGGTTCCAAGGCATTTGACATACATCTCATTTAATCAAGGTGACCTTACTTTGCAGTGGCTAGAACTAACCTCAGAGACAAGACCTTGGTTCAAGACCTGGTACACTTACTGGTTCTATGACCCGGACAATTCACTTGACCTTGATGCCCCAGGCTACTTATTACTTATTGTCTTCAGCTTGCAGAAGGTGCCAAGCAAAATTAGTGGAGAGGCTTTCCTCATCTGGGAGTTCCCTATTGCCTATGTAATACCCTCAGCCAAATGATCAAGTTGTTATAAGGAACCTTCAGGTTCCTGCATGCACCTGGACTAGACTTCAGTACAACCTGACACCAGCATCCGTATAGTTGTTCACCATACCTGGGATAGCCTCTACCTTACCCTCTTTAGCCTCTACCTTAAAACTCGTTTCTTTCAAAACTCAGCTCAAGAGCCACATTCTACAAGTCAGGATTGGCAAACCAAATCACCTGGTTTTGTATGGCTGTGACAATGAAAAAACCCCAGAGACAGTTCCTGGGTAATAATCTATTAAATAGGCTGGCTAATAAAAAAATTTCATGGTCAGTGGTTTATCTCAGTAACCAGAGACAAAACCCACAGAGGCAGTAAATGCTTTGAATACATTTGGAAAAGGGGGTGTTGAACAATTAATGAGGAGGTGGGCTATACTCTAGTTCCTCCTGCTGAGACAGTGGTGTGGTCTTGAGACTCAATCAGCACCAGCAGTGTGGACAGGGGAATCCCTCTTCACCCAGACCACTCTGGTGGTTTTTCTCCTTCATGAGCTGGATCACCCTAAACTCCAATAGAGAGGTGCCAAGGACGTAGGCTTATTTCCTCAGGGCAAGAATTCACCTATTTAGATTCTGTTTACACTTCGAAGAGAAGTAAGGTGTCCTAATTGGATACCCAGAGCAATCTCCTCTATCTATGCCCTTTCTTCAGAGACTGGCTGACTGACCTTAAAGGGATGCTCCCTGAATACAGAAACAGCCTGGCTCCAAATTAATAATGAATTATTAATATAATACAAAATAATAAATTTCTCATGGCCCTTAATCTAAGAATGGTTTTTATGTTTGTAAATCAAGTTTTTGTATTTAAAAATGTAAAAGCCCAGCAGCAAACCCCTCTTCTACAAGAAGCCCACCCACCACCCACAGGATATTATCTGTTTTTTAAAATCAAGCTGTACATAACAGAAAATCACACTTTCATGTGTGAAACAGCTCTTACCAAAGTTACAATGACTACAGAATTGTCAATCCTCATTCAAAAGAATGTCCCTGCAACTTCTGACACTGTTCATCTCCTCCTAGATACTCTCTGGGCCTGCCAGAGAGTTGACTGCTCCCTGGACTCCTCTGCTAATTCATCCTTTTATTACACTGCATTCCCTCTAAGTATAGAGCCCTACCCCAAGGTCTATCCTGGGGCCCCCTTTCCTGTTCTCTCTCTACAGTGATCAGCCAGCATGGTATCATTTCTAGGCTTAAGTCCCGACACCCTACCTCTCTCCCTTTACTAAATCTCTACCCGAAGCTCCAGGCCCATTTCCTTCTGCCTCATCACCTATATCTGCAACCTTGGCATTATCCTTGACTTCTCATTCTCCCTTGTTCCACACTCCCCCCTCCCCCCAATCAGTTTCCATTTTCTTTTCTCCCAGGGCCACCACCTTTATTCAGGTGCTCATCAGCTCCTACCTGAACTTCAGTAACCTACTGATGCCCCTATCTCATGCTTCCCTTCTCCAATCCATCCTCCACACAACTGCCCAAGTCAAACCATGTTACTCCCCTAATCAAGAACCCCAAAAAACCCTGAAATGCCTTCACAACCTGCCCAGGACTGTCCTTCCGACCTTATCCTACATTATTTCCATCCAAACATCTTTCAGTGGAAAACTGACCTAGATGTTCTTCATTGCGCCTTTGTCCTGGCTATCCTCTGCACCTGGAATACACTCCCACTTTACCATTATGCTCAGCCCTCAAAATTTTCCTTCAAAATTCCATCCAAGCACCTAGGACACAAGAAGAAGCCTTTTTCAATCCTGCCACCTCTGTAAATGCTGTCACTTCCTCTAAAAGGAGCACAGTGTATAATAGGAACTAATAATTATTTTCAAAGTAAATATATACATATATATACACAGAGGTCATTATAGCTAATCACATTTTATAATGGTAATCTATCAATATGTTACCTTAAAGCTTACAAAATGCTTATTTTCATATACTCAAAAATAGTAACCTGACAGTAACTTACATCCATTTCACCTGTATGTTCAATTATCTTCTGATTTCAGGTTATCCTTTTCCAACCTCTGCAAGAACATAATTCCTAAGAGAAGAAAGAGTATTTTAAACTATCTGTTCACTCAAAATACACAGATTATTTGTAAACACTATTTTTAGACCAATTTGCATATCCTCATACAAATATTTAATAATCACAACGGTTCATGATGTGAACAGCAGTGAAAAGGTTTAATCACTGGATATGAAGCCATTAGATGAGGTCAAAAGTACCAGTAGTAAAAGAAAGAAAAACCTTATACCATCATTTCGTGTTTAAATATATCTATGTATGTACTGTCCACTAAAATCAGGGGGTGATGTAACCTTTGCCCCATCTCTTACCTGTCTGTACCTAAATGCTCACCCTTCCTTGGGCACCAACTGAGTTCTTTTGGCCTCAGCAGCTCCTTGAAGGCCATAAAGTCCTCTTTAGACCAGCAGCATCTGGCCATAGCTGCTTGCACAAAATGTCACTTTAATGTTTGCTGAATGAAAAATGCAAGCTCTAAACGGCCTTGTGTGATGTAACAATTTCTCTGTAAGTGATTAATGATTCAGTTCAGCCAGTAAGTGTTGGCTACTTGCAAGATGTTGTCCTAAAACAGGGGAATCAGGCCTGGCAACCTGGAGTATACGGTTTATGAGAAGCGTGTCAAGCAGTATGGAAGAATATTTGGTAAATAATTCCATCCTACTAAAATATTCCAGAAATAGTAGCACTGGTCAAAAAAGGTGTGACGATTTACTTTGGGCATTTTGCATTCAGTGCTAGATAGGGCCTGATTCTGAACTGATAACGCAATCTTAAACCTCCGCGTAGGAGCCTCGTTTAGAGCTGGAATAAACGGAGGTGACCCGGCCCAGATCCCTGGGTCGATGGAAGCCCAGCATACGTTAATTGCTATCGCCGGGCCTGGTCCCCACAAAGCAGCCGACATCCCATTGGGTCAAGTACTAGAAAACCCACTGAAATCTTCAAAAAGGGATGGGGAGGGGGCCTCAGGTGTTAACACCCCCCGGACCGTGCAGACGATTATCTCGGTTCCGCGGGATTTCCTCCCTGCCTCTCTCTAATTACTTAATTTCTAATTCACCGTCACAAGGCGCAGCGCTCAGGGAGGGGCGGGATGCGGGTTCCCCCGAACCTGCATTACCACGGGCAGGATTGACCCGGCTGCCCCAGCCGGGCCTGCACCGAGCCCGGGACAGACGCGGAGCCGGCCCCGGCTTTGCAGACCGGGAAGGGAGCAGAAGGGTGAGCCGGAGGAGGGGGCCTGGCCCCGCCCCCGGCCGGGGTCCGAGAAGGCCACCCCGGCACCGCCCGCGCACCATCCCCCTCCCAGCCCTCGCCCGCTCTCACCCTGCGGCTCCCGAGACCCGCGCGGGGGTCCATGACGGTGATCCACTCCCGGAGCACCGGGGCGGCTGCGGC